CCACAGGCAAACTTAATTGAGAGGAAGTGTGCCTTTGCAAAGACAATGCTACCTTCTGTATGCAGCTGTCAGAACAGAAGTGAACATTCCACACCTCTGAACAAATGAAAAAATTATACTTCCTGCAAAAGAACAAAAAAGCCACAGTATACACAGACTAGTGTAAAAATGTAACAAGAGACGCATTTCCACATTTACATCCTGTTGTCATGAGCAACAAGTGGTAAGATTCATATGCAAGATTCTCTCTTTCTATTGCTCTACTCTTGGCATTGCACCAAATTTCGGCAACTGTTTCGTGGTTGAAGCCCTCTATTTCCACCTCACTTTCCACATGACCTCATTTGCATAACATTCTCATACAGTTTATCTCATTTTCACTCCAGGTGTGAGTTATGTTCAGGAAGTTGTAAAATCATCTATTCAACAACACACCTTTCATGCAAGTATTTAAAGTGGGGTCTAAATGTCTTAGAGCGCTTTCAATGTAAAGTGCAAGAGAACTTTATCAGCTGAGATGTAGGATTTCCTGTGGCATCCTTGGTAGAAGGTCAGCCAGTGACTACTAGTCAAGCATTAGGTCTCAGCCAGCCACAGGAACCTCTTCCTATTCTAAATAGAATATTGTACAACTCAAGTATTATTTTTTTATGGAGACCCATAGCACTGGTTCTCAACCTTTTTTAGGCCAGCACAGCCTATCCATTCTCCAGGTCCCACCATTTTGCTCAATTGTTTTTTTTTTTTATTATAGTGTATTTGCATGCGCAAAAGTGGACAAATCTTTTTTTAAAAATGTAAATTAATAAATCAATTTAAAATGGACAAATAAGTAGACATTTAAAATTATTGTGCAATTCACCTTTGGCTAAAGCCACGCCTTATAATGTAGATTGACCAATCACAGCGCAGCCAAGAACGAGCTCCCACAGAGGTCGGACACTTTTTCACAGCGCTCCATTGACTTTCAACACAGGCGTCTCATATTTTTGGTCTCGGCAGGCTATTACCGTCGTAGTTTTATCCGAAATATGGTTAAACGTTGTGCCTCGGGCATTTGTAACACAGATGCGCGTTTCCCAGAGAGGTTGGAGGGGGGTGTCCGTTTTTTTTTCCTTCCCAAAACCAAAGTAAAATCCTGACAAGTGTCGTCTTTGGATTAAACTGTGTGGACGTCCTCAGTCAGCTAAACCCCGCAAAGATCAACAAGCACATCTTTTTTTAATTCTAACCTTACTGTGAAGTTTTACTAGTTAGACAGTTTTATAATTTTAGGTTATGATTTCGGTTCTCACATCGGTTGTTGATACGCTAGCACACGCTGCTAATAAATACAACGTTATACTCGTGTAGTCCTTTGCTTTGTAATAACGATTATAGAAGTGAATAGAGACCCACTCAGCTTTGCATGAACAGTGTTGCTCCCTGATATTGTTAGTCCCAGCCTCCGTTTCGATTAGTAGGAAATGCAGTGGTTAATTTTTTGACTGTGACCGGTAACGTTAACGTTATGCTTTTGCCTCTATTTTGGATGCCTTTTTGTTTCTTGCGTTTGTATGTCTTGAATATAGCCTTCGAGCGCATATTACAGTCCCTTTTGCCCACTTCTATCGGACATTTTATTTGCTGCTTTATAAAAGTTTGATAACATTTCAGCAGGAAGAGCTGTTACAGCATAAGCCATGCAAAGCGCAGATGAAGTTTGACTGATGTAGCAACAGTAACTAAGGGGGGCGGGGCTTAGCCAAAGGTGAATTTTTGTTTTATGTTAAATGTAAAAATGTTAAATAAAATAGAACAATAAATGAATAAATAGTAGGCCTATTTTAAAAATAAATAGACATATGAGACTGTTTAAAACAGTTTAAAAACATTGCATGATGGAGCGATGGGGTGAACACTTTTCAATGGTGCACTAATATGCATTAATTCACGCTTAACTAATGCACCGATAATCTCAAGTTATTGTATGACTCATGAAGAACTAAACCCCATTGATTACTGCATCAGCAACTAATAAATCTGAGTTTAAGTCATATATGAATTGCAGTTGTTAAATACGCCATGAATTCCCTGTAAACATCTAGTAGTGTAAATTAATGTGTTGAAATAGTGTCAATGTGTTGAATCTGAGATCAGAAATAAATTAGCGTAGTCAAAGTGTAAACCAAGTTCTTTTCTGAGCTCCAATTACTGTTCACGACTCTAGCATGTGGTTTCAGACACTATGAGATATGCTACTATTTGATGTGGTTTACAGTTCTTTAAGTCTCACTAATTATTTATTTTAATTGATTTTATTAATAGATCTGACAAACATTTGTGTGTTCTAGTTCCCTTTTGGTCATCTCATTAATCAATCATCAATTCCTTGTGCACCCCTTTACCCTGCTGTCACTTGACAGAACAAGGCCTTATGATACTTAAAAAGGAACAGATGGATTTAATAACCAATTTGAATCTGAAACTCCCCCAAGCGGGATATATTCCTAAAGAGGAAAAAGCAACAAAACGCTGAAGCTCAGGCACACATAGGCTATGGGATGATTTTAGCAGACAAAAAAAAAATAAGTCAATTAGTGTAATGAGATCATTTAAGGGCTATTTCTGAATGTGGCCACATATAGTAACATAATCACCCATGCTTAAACAGTCAGGGTTGTATTTAAATGCCGATGAAATTCGACTGGCTGGGTCAGATTGCCTGGCACCTGCACTGCATCAGTGATGTGTGTTTTTGCACTTCCACTTCCCCTCTTGACTGTCATCTTGCTGAGAAACACAATATGAAACATGTCCATTGAGGACTTTTATCTGTCTTTTGGGATGTGTTTTGGTTATTTCCTTTTTATGCATTTGTCTGTTGGCCTCTTTTCAATTTACTCAATTCAATTGAACAGATAGAAGAAGAAACAAGTAGTATGACAGAAGAAAATGCAGAGAGTTTAATGGAGAGTTCAGCCTCCATTTAAGTTCCGCCTCATGCTGTAAATAATACATAAACAATCGTAACGCTTTAGATTACAACCCGCAAAGTACTATATAATTAAAACGTTTGTACAGTAACTTTCTGTAATTATAGTGTACTTGCATGTTAGTAAGGTAACAACATGTAAAGTTTTGGGAATAAAGGGGTAACAACCAGGAGAATTAACAAATGATTAATACTGTAAGTATTTGGGAGCAATTTAGCGAGAATATTCATTATGTACCTTTTTGTAATAATGGGGAGGTATACTCTTCTTCCATGTAGTTACAGGGTAAGTGTAACATGTGTGGGCTGTAAATTAAAGTGGTGTTTGTTATGTAGTTACAATGTAAGTATGACATAATTAAGGTGGTCCTTGTTACCGTCTTGTTCCATGTAGTTACAAGGTAAGTCAAAGTGGTGCTTGTCACACTTATGCTATAACTACGTGATGGCACAGGAGTATATTTCCCAAGTATTTAAAAAAAAAAATTGTTTGCAATAGTTTTATTTACTTGCCTTGAAACATGTAAGCCCAAACTAAAACAACTGCACTTCTGCTATCAAAAAATAAATAAATTACTGTATAAATGCACAGATATGTACCCTGTAATTTGTAAAAAGCCTATACAACATGTATTGGTACACTATTATTTAAAAACATGGTAGGCAGATGCAGTGTATGTACACACTTAATTGCTCCCAAATGTAAGATTGTTGTAGAATGAGTAACCCTGGGTTCTAAAATACTTACAGTATAAAGAATTAGTTAATTCTCCTGGTTGTTACCCATTTAATCCCCTTTACCCCTTTAAAAAAATGTTACATATTGATCCCTTATACTTACTTGTCAGTACTTTATATGTACACTATATTTACCAAAATATTAGAATGATTTCTGAAGGACTGGAGGATCATGTGACACTGAAGACCAGAGTAATAATGCTAAAAATTCAGCTTTGCCTTCATAGGAATAAGTTACATTTTAAAATATATTGAAATATATATATATATATATATATATATATATAATTTTATTTTAAATTGTTATAATATTTCACAATATTATAATATTTTTGGATCAAATAAGAAGCCTTAGCACATAAAACACTTCTTTCAAAAACATTTAAAAAAAACTCCTAACAACCCCGAACTCTCGAAAAGTAGTTTATATAAACATAAATTTGTTTAAATTAGATGTTTGAATTTGTGAATTCCAATGTAGACTCTGACATTTGGACCTCAGTGTGTTTACTGTACATGTTTACATCCTCAAATATTGCAAAATTTTAAAACAAGGATTAGAATTTGGTTGAGGACATCAGCTGATTCTGAATCAGACACAGCTTTGACATAATAGACAATATTAATGAGAAAATATGCACAGTCACAATGAGCCACAAGGAAAAGTGCTGTTTCGTGTAACTTCAAAAGAGCCAATGACTAAATGACACAGAAGACTAAACTAACTATAAAAAAAAACAGCACTTACCCATCATTAATGAAGGAATACAAATAAAAAAACGGATGTAAAGGTAGTCAAATGGGGTACAGAACCATCGTTGAGAACAGCAGGATATTGCACATTTACAAAGATAAGTGGTCAATCTGCAAAACAAGGCGGACTTTCTTTCCACCACAAGTTTAGCCACAACTTTCCACTACGTAATAGAGGAATGAAGAAGTTAGCTCTTGGTTTCATGATGTTCACAGCACAAAATAAACTAGAGGTGTCAGACCAGAGAACAAGCCAATCTCATAAGCATGTCAGATGTGTAGAAAAGGTGCACCTAATCGTTTAGAAATGACCTCTGCCATGAGATTGACTTGCTGCATGTCTTTTCCACGGAAACTAGCAGATGAGATAGCTGTGTGACCTTTACAAGGTACTTTACCAGCTCATCCATCAGAGTAGTGCCACATGCAACTCCTTTGGTGACTTTAGTAGTGTGTGCGTTCATACTGTACAATTAGTAAACAAAATAATTCCAATTAACTATTTTGTTTTTGTACATACTGTACACTCTCTTACCAGTTTCTCTGCTGCAGTAGAGGGTGTTGTCCGCCATTGTTACATCATCAAATTCACCATGTAAACTGTTTCCTCTTACTGCACCTCTCTCTGTCCAGCTCATCTACAATGAATACAAATGTACGGCAGTTTATAACAGGCATCACAAACAAATTATAAGTCTATAGCAATGATTTATAGTTTGATTGATCTCATCGGATCTGGTAGGAAATTTTCCCGTTTCACAGACAAGGCTTCAGTCTAGTCTCAGACTAAAATGCATGTTTGTTTTAACTGAAAGAAACTTGCAATAGCATATCTTAAAATATTTCACAGCCATTTTTTTGTCTCAAGATTTATTTTATTTTAATTAGTTAGTTATTTGACAGGGACAATGTAGATTTATTGACATTACTGTAAATGCACCAGAATTAGCCAAAAGGCTATTTTTCATCTGTTGTCCCTGGACAGATCTTAAAATTGTCTACCTAAAATGAACAACAATAAAAGATTACAATGAACAATACAAATATAAAATGCACACCAGTGATGTTTTTTTTTTTTTTTCTAAGGCACGTTTAAAAATAATTGAACTGAGGCCTAATTCTGGCTTAATCTAAGCCCTGTCTGTGAAACCAGCCCTTAATGTTTGCATCATTTGTACCTGGATTTTTGTGTTATGTCCATAAACACAGAAAAGAAGAATTAGCTACTATGGTGATTTTACTCGATTGTTCAGACAAATATATTTTGCATATACAGTATTTATTTTTTTATCTAGGATTTTGGTGTAGAATGACAGATCTACTCCAGTGTTATCATTCGCTGAAAATAAATCTACATTTTTGTTAAAGGCATAGTACAGTATACAAGTTTCACAGCTAGAGGTTGCTTATTCAAAACAATAACAAAGACGTAGCTTGATGATGCCGTGAAAAGCAATGGAAATATGGAATAAAATCAGCCCAGGCTCATTAGAAAAACATACCTTTGGCAACATTATTGCAAAAAAAAAAAAAAAAAAAAAATCGAAAAATCAATAGTCAATGTCTAAAGGGGAATATTTTTTTTGTATTATATATATATAGGCTATATTAAATCATGTCCTTAATATAATTGTTGAAACACAATGCCACAAACCATGCTAACTGCAAGGTTCCCTGCAAATACCATTCTTATCATTAAAGTAACACCAGGTAACTTTTCAACCTTCATAATATATTTCCAAGTCTCTTGTGATGGTACATCGACTTACAATAGGTTGAATGACAAGTCTGCCATAGCCTGACGGGGTCTGTAGCGTTTTTAATCGGACTTTTAAACTTCGGGTTTCGGGTAGTAACCGGCGAACAAAGAGAACTACAAAATTCGACCGCTTTGCGGCCACCACCACTTCCTTAAAATTGGACGTGCGAGCCAAATGTTATAGTCATGGCCGAAGCAGCACATAAAAACAAGAAAGCAAAGGTTTTATTGGAGCAAAGCAAAAAGAGAAAAAGAGAAAGTGATGGCGTAAAAGGCAGAATGCGGATCAACATTGGGCCAGCGTTTTCTCGCTGGCGTGAGCTGAAGGAGGAGGAGGGGTGTCTCGATGCGGACTTGGCTGTTATGCTTTTGGACTAGTAAGTATATTGCTTGCATACTATCTCTTTCTTTTCTTTTTTTTTTTGTCTGCCTGACTATGTTACGGAAGCTATCTTATCCTCTGTTTATCTTCATGAATCAAGTAATGATAGTAAAGTAGCAAATTATCAATCTGGTAGCTAGAAAACGATATTCTAGTTTTTGATGGTTAGCAATCGTCTAAACGGCATGCACAAGTTTGGTAGGGGCTACATTCTTGCAAGTAAATATATAAGATGTACAAAATTATATTTTAGGATACCTAACATGTCTGTGATATTCGTTTATTTTTCTTGCCTCAAGCTATAAAGCAAATCGATTTGTAAAATTTGCAGATTCATTTATGGTAGCTTGATATTATAATATTGACGATATATGGTTATTATCTACCACTCAAACATTGCATTGAAGTATCATATAGATTCAGTAAAACAGTAACCAATAGACTAGGCTACTATAATGACGCTGGCTTGTAAACATGAGCATCGCGATCATTTGTCGTTATTAAAATTAAAACCCATGAAATTATATTCATATGACATGCTGAAATTTATTCCACTGTACCTGGGATGAAGACATTTTCATCCCCAAGAGCAAAAGTTCCCTGGTGTTACTTTAAAGGGTTGGTAAAATGACAATTTAACAAGATGTAAAATAAATCTCTGATGTCCCCAGAGTGTGTGTGTGTAGTTTTAGCACAAAATAACCCACAGATATTTTTATATAGCATGTTAAAGTTGTCACTTTTTGAGGGTTTGCAAAAACGTACGTTTTGTGTCTGGCCCTTTAAATGCAAATGAGCTGCTGCAGAGGGTGGGGTTTCAAGAGCTTGTGTGTTAGCAGCTGCAATTTCCTCAAGCAGATACACTAAAATGACAGAAACTGTTCTCCCTTTATAATGTTAAAACGGAGTCAGTCAAAGATGAAGAGACTCAAGAAGAAGTGACAACATGTAGAATCCAACAGGACATCTCTGAATGGTTAGTTGATGAATTTATGTTGCTTATGTGGAGTTAACTATCTTCAGTTAGGATATTATGTCATGTAATCTATAAATCACTCATATAGAAACTGTTGTGAGATACACACAGAGTGACTTTCTATTGCATGTGAAAAGATAGTTGCTAAAGTTAGAGCTGACTCACAAATGCACTCTTATACAACCACTCTTCCTCTTCTCAACATGGACTGCGTGTTCCCGGGGACGGGTTTATGTTCATTTTAGGGTTGGTGATGTCACTAACCCAAGAGGAATGTTGTGTAGTCCCTACCAGCCCTTTGTTGTAGTCCATTTCTTTAAAAGCAAATATGTTCCTTTGTTTTGAACTTTGAGCGTTGTAACTTTGATAATGGTGTTTATGCTCAAACACCAAGATTACACACTAACTAAAGTAAGAAAAGGGAAGTCATACTTTACCACCCCTTTAAAACACTCATAGTGACAGCCTGCTATATGTGGCTATAAAAAAGCAAAAATATTAAACCAAAATGCATGAATATACAAACAGACGTGAAAATATATGCTTACAAAAACTATTTCACAGTATCAATAAAAAATGTAATAGCGTATTAGCTATTAAAATAATATTGATCAGCCCTGATAGTGTGATCACAGAAATACCTCAAACCATCAGACAGCAGTGCTGAAGCACAACTTGTGTAAACAACTAAATTGCAGGTTACAACTTTATTGTCAAGTATGCAATTTTGATCCTTTTTTCACACTGTTCACACTCTTTCTGCAAGTGTCATATCAGTAGTGTGTGCTATGGAAATTCTCTTTACACTTTATGTTTGCATTTGCTGAAATGTACTTTAACATGAGGTTTGGACAAATGGCCTTTGTTGAGGAACCACATTGTGAGCCAAGAAACACTCTCCAAAGTGATCATATTATGTTGCACAACAGAAACCTTCACAGCATAAAGCCGTATTCATTTCCCCAAATGGATTACATCAAGTGATTCTGTTCCACACAGCGTTCCTCATTCTAGACACAACACAGTTTCTACTGATGGCTTTCTCTAGCCCAGAGGTCTCAAACTCGCGGCCCGCGGGCCATTTGCGGCCCGCGGGATGATATTTTGTGGCCCCCTACTTGATTTTAAAGTTTAGTGCGGCCCGCCGTTGCGTTTGCCGCGTTATTTTTATTATTAATATTTTTATCCCTTATGGGCTACCATATATAGTCTCGTGACAGCTTACCGTGGGTTTGTTGTCAATAGTTGTCATAGACAACCACGAAGTACAAATATACTGCGCCTGGAAAAAATGAGCGCGTCGCTTCAATTATGAGCGCGCTCGGCGCTTGATGCGCGCCTACGTTTGAAACGTACTTGAGCGTGCAAAATATGTGAGCGCGATATGTGAACAGGCGAGCTACCACCACCAAATCAGCCCACAACTACTGATAGCTCGCGAGCGACGTGTTGGATATCCCTGCTCTAAAACAATGTGAGAATAATCATTTTGAGCTTGTAATATGTGTTGTGTCTGAACACGTTCAATGAACGATAGTTAATGAACTCGTTCATATTTTGGGCGAACGTGATCTGAACGTAGCCTACTGTATTACTGCCTGACGAACGTTACAGTGAACTCGTTCATTCTAGTGTCTGTGAACCAAGGAGGCGTCGTAAGATCATTTAAAAGGCTTTTATGAGGTCGGTGAGGATGGGAAAATCTTATGTCTGTGCAAACTTTGCCCGTCGATAAAATGATTGTTATCTGTGGTTGTATATGGGTTGTGGCAATAATAATAGCCTAATAATAAAAAAGAAGCTCGCAGCAACATATGGGAAAAAAAAAGAACTATAGGCCTAGTTAATTTTTGAAATATGAACTGAAATAGTTCATTTTAAAATTTGTGAATTGAACTTTGAACTAGTTCATGTAATGAACTTGGTCCAACAGGTTGATAAGAAGGTTTGCTTTGATATGTGCAAAGTCAGTAATTTGCCTGAGACACATGTGTAGAAAGAATTATTTGTATTTCAAAAGCAGTAATTGGTTTTCTAAGTATAATAAAAGGAAATGTGCCTTTTGGAAAAAAAAATCAATATAATAGTGTAAAGAAAATAAAAAGCAAATATGACTATCATCACAACAAAGATGTTGTGTATAAGAAAAAGACAAAGAAAGTTTGTAAAACTGTCAACTGTCAAGGACAGCTCATCAAGAACCAATCATGTACAGAAAGGAATGTTCAAATTCAGAGGAACAGTTCAGAAGAAACGTTAATAATAAAGATTGAGAAGATTGGATCAGTTGTGCTCCATTTTTGGAATACTTAAAAACATTGTTTTTATTTTTTTGAATACTTGATGCGGCCCGGCCCGGCCTGATCCAGACTCTATCTCCAGCGGCCCCCAGTTAATTTGAGTTTGAGACCCCTGCTCTAGCCCCTTTTCAGATTCTAATTCTGAAAGACTGCAGCCTTTTTTTAGGAAAAGCTAAAAAATATGATGGGTTTTAACTTCATTCAGGAGATTTTGGGTAACTGCACAACTGACAGATGACTTTGAGCACACCGCCAACTGTGTGTGTGTGTGTGTGTGTGTGTGTGTGTGTGTAACCAATAGCGACAAAACGACCACCTTTTGGAACTTGCACTTAAGCTTATAATTTTGTTTTTAAAAATATAATTATGTATTTAAAATTTGCAGAATGGATTTATTTGGAGACTTCAGAATTGGCAGAGATAGGCAGGCAGTGCAAAACAAAATTATTGCAAAAGTTATTGCTTAGCTCGACTTGGTCTTGGGCTTTGTCCCGACTTGGTCTCGGGCTTGGTCCCAACTTGGTCTCAACTTGGTTAGTCTTGGTCTCGACTTGGTCTCGATACCTTCTGGTAGTGTCTTGGTCTCAGTTTAGGCGGTCTTGACTACAAGTCTAGTCGTAAAAATGTTGAGCACAGGCCCCTTTGCTCCAAACTTCCTCAAATCATGTGATTGTAGTGAAGTGCCGCTGTTTGGTGAGATTGCGTTAATGTGCGGCTGCCTTCTAGCGAGTCATTATTCTAGCATCTTTCTGGTACTCTGGCTGGAGGTGAGTGCGGCGGCTGGTTGTTGTTATGCTTGAGCCTAACGACTGAAACGAAATTAAGTGTTACGTCTTGCTGGGCTGATCGCAGAAAAGCACACGTTGTGCTGAGGGTTTGCACACATTGTCAACACGCGCTATTTGATACCAATGCTTGATGTACAAATTCCTCTTAGCATCATGGGTGTATTGCTGCTTGGCTTATTTATTTAGCTGTATTTATTTAATTAATGGGTGTATAGTTATTACTACTACTATCTGTGTATTTCAGCTCATCTTTGGACATTTCATCTCTTGCCGACCGGATTGTGTGCGAGTGATGCGATCTCCACATGTTTGGTCTGTGCGATCAATTGTACAACAGAGAATTAATGCTACGTATATTTTAGCTCATATTCAGGCTTTTGCATGTGAATTGATCTGCTGTTTTATGGGCACTTAAAAACTGTGCTGCCTGGCTCTGGTCAGGCGAAACTAAAAGGACTGCGCATGTGCAATGACGTTGAAATAGCGTAATGACGTATGAGCTGTTCTTCCTGTTGAATAAAGTGTCATATAAATGAGTGTTCCGTTATTTAAAAATAAATTATCATTTCACTCAGTGTCTGTGAAATGAAGCAGGACAATGTCCCACCAGTGCTTGTTTTAAATTTTCATCCACACACGACTTTTGGGCGCGGGCTTTTACTGCATGATAAATACAATCAGCACGGCAAAACGGTTCATGCTCATCGTCTCCAAATCATGACCAGAGACGGATAAATATTAAGTCGTTTAAAACCAAATAAAGAACCAATAGGGGAGAATAGTTATAAGCGAACATATTCGTGCAGTGTGCACATGTCAAAAAATCAATTCCGATTTGAATCTTGTGACGTATAAACGCACACAACAGCCGGTTATTTTATCTGTCATTCATGTAAACACCTTGATCGGATTCATTGCGTGGTGTTTTTCTTTTAGTCTTTTTGTATGTTGTGTCCTGTAAATTGGGTACAATTATTGATCTTTGGTAATTTCGTATTTCTTGTGTTTAAAAAAAAACAAACAAAAAAACACAGGAGCGGGAGCACTAGTTGCTCTATTTTGGTGACGGGTGCTGATGAGACACAGTGTGTAGTCTGCAGCCCATAGTGATTGATCTTGTTTGACGTGTGACTTGTTTATTGTTTTATTGTTTATTGTTTATTGTGTGTTGTGGTTATATTGAGACTAACTGACTAGCACACCAGCATTTTATCTTATTTATTTTATTATTTATTTATTTTTATTTATTTTATTTTATTATTTTTTAATTTATATTTATTTATTTATTTCATTATTTTTATTTATTTATTTTATTATTTTATTTTATCTTCCAAATAAAGAATATTTTTCGTACTTTGTCTCAGAGTATCTGTGTAAGGAAAACATCGAACCTGTGTCCTCACTAGGATACTTCCCTAGCTTAGTGACCAGTGTGGCATAGTCGACTTTCTTCCTCCTTTGCTCTCTCTCTCTTCTTGTTTGCCTGCCTGCCTTTCTCACGCTCTTTCTCTGTCCATCAAACGTATGGCTCGCCACATAATGACATGAAGCATTTACTCTGATTCATGGCTAGAGCAAGGTTCTGCATGTTGCAACTATCCTTATGTACCTCTATAGCATCCATTAAGTCAATGCTACTTGGCATGCACTTCCTCATTTGAACTAAAACCGTTACCCACAGCACAAATATGTGGTACAGTGAGATATGAAAACAACTTCCCTTCTTTAAATATAGAAAAAAACACATCTGACAAAAGTCATGGGAAACTGTTGTTCTTTGTACAAGCATTAACTAGCAGCATGAGGAGCACTGTGAGTCACATGCAAGTTTCTGATCAGCTTTGAATGGCTTTTATATTTGCTGATGTGGCAACAAAACAAAAAAAAGTGTCAAGGCACAGTAATTTGAATCCTTGCGTCTGCAGATATTTTAGCGTAAGGAGCTGACAAGCTTTTAGCAGTAACAATTTCTTTAGCTTTGGCTGAAGGCAGAAGTTAGACATACAATTTCTATGATATGAGCTTTTACACCAATATTCCATGACAGGAAAAAATACTGGAAAGCGACAATCGCATATTTTAAATTCAGTTATAAATACCGGAAAGGCGATTTCACACAGTTTCTGGATCCAATCCTCCAGTTCAGCTGTCTCAACGGCGAAAACAAATGTCTTTTCAGTTGTCTCAACCAAAAAGGGTCCACAATCCCGTGGACAGCCTTCGACATCAGCCTCCGAAACACGAATGCAGTCTGTCATTTTTATCACCTGTAAAAAAAACAAGAAGCTCAGGAATTGAGGCTTAAACATTTTTTTCCAACAAGTAGGGGGGATTGCTTTTGGAGAGCCTATGTGCTCAATACGCATTTTAACTGAAAAACCTTGACAAGGCGAATCTGTTTCATACACATCAGAACAATTTAAATAAGCTCCAGATTTGCAATTTGGGTGGGCGGTTTGACGTGAGAGCATTTTCTTTTACATTTTCTCCAAAATAAACATCAAAATGTTTTATTTGTCATATTTCATTGCAGAAATAGGAACAGATGCAATGGTTCTTCAATGGTAATTGTTTGTACATTTCCAATTTTCCACCCACACACAAGGCATGTGCATGACCCCTCACAGAGTTTGATTGTTTGTGTTCCATAAAACATCAAGGAATTGCATCACTCTCAGATTCACCACATCTTATTTATGTACGCAGTACAGGGAAAATCTAAGCTACACGGTTTGTTGTTCACCTTTTTGTTTTCCTGTTTGCGGTTGGCTCTCTCCAGCGTGCTGCCAGCTCCATCTTTGCACTCAAAGAACTCAAGGCGAGAGATAGAGCAGGAGCTCTCGTGGTACAACACGGACCAAACCTTTCGCCATTTCTGAAAGAGAAAAATGAATGGAAAGTGATGTAAACTGTGACACTTTTACTTATGTTGTCCTGTAGGCATGAATAAATAAGATATAAAACGAATGGACCTTATTATATTTCAGGATGTCTACTATCAACCAGCATTAGAAGACATATTAGAACCATAAAAATATGACTTGTAGAAAAATGGTCTAATGACAACAATAAATGAGTAAGCTGATTAATTTGAATGAGTAAGCTCTTGACAAAACAAATATGCACAGCTAGGGTGACACATCTTACCCACTGACACACTTTATCCCATGCTCCCCCATTATAAACCGATTTTTTAAGAATGTCGGCGTTCCAAACTACCAATATTTTTGCAATTTAGCTTGATTTTGACACTTAGAAGTGAAACTGGAAGTGGTTAAAGGCACATAAAAATACCCCAAGTGCTTCCTACAATAATGACAGCATTGTCTTTTTTGGAAAAGCCCAATAAAGATTTGTTTAACATACCAAACAAACGTCCAAATGTAAAATGTGAAAACATGTCAATGTAGAATACTGATTAGATCAGAATTTGTTACTGCTTTAACATTGGTTCAAGTGCCTGTGCATGGTTGTATCACAAGTGCATCAATTGAAAGCATTTAAAGTGTGAGATTCCTCATTCAGGAAATGTCCATAATAAGACGAATTTTTCAGAGAATCGCTGTGGTATGGACATTACCAACCATTTCAGAGAAATGCATGGCCTCAAACAACACTTAATCTATTACAGATGCAACATTCTCCTTATGGTTTCCTAAAGAGACAGCCCTGATCCTATTGCTAACATTAACTCACTTTAATGGACTCCAGCAGGCCATATATTATCTATAGTCCCATATGGCGGAACTAACATATCAGTGGCATCAATCAAAATGAAGTGAAATGGTTTTAGATGAGAATATTAACTTTTTAAAGTGAATCATGTTCATAGTTCAGGAAGTTGTTCATGACACTGCCAGTGAGCTTAATATGATTCATGAATTTCTCTTATTGTAATTGCTCTAAAAATATGGCGTATTTGCCGACAAACGTGTGGTTCAAATTCGGCGAAGAGAAAGCAGCTAATTGAAATTTATAGATCAAGCCCATCACGCTCAACACAAATGTATAATACAGAAGTCCTGTTTTGATGACACATTTATCTTTTTCATTTGATTGACTTTGGAATTGGAATAGAATTTCTGGCACACTAAAGACAACTAACAGACAAATTGTAAGTTTGTACCGTTATAAAGACGTAAATGTCTGATCTCCAAATCTCCATCAGTCCTTGAAGTCTTCAGTATTGGATATTAAAGAAAATACCAACCAAGTCAATATGTTCCCCAGGGTTTAAAAAAAAAGAAAACCAATTGAAAATAGCCTTATGGTCTGATCTACAAGCTTCCATTGCCCTACTACTCAACATCAAGAGTACATTACTGGTTCCTTTCCATGAGGCCTTGGTGTTTGGGGTAGGCAACCAAATGTGCACACATATCAACAACGTTTTGTTACTATTATTATTTTAGATTTTATTCTTTCATCTACTGGTTTGCAATATGAACAGCGGCTCTGCAATTTTACAAACAACCGCTCACAAAATTGTGGGTGTTATAGCCTACAGGAAATAAAGAACGAGTAACTGTCCAGTAGCGCTTTGCAACAGAAAGTTCTTCGATTTGGATATCATTTAAAAGTAGACAAGAATCCAACTAAAGGGTTTATACAATATTCATTGGTTTCATTATTTTGTGGTAATTTATGTAATCGAGCGGCTACATCTCTGCACTCGGGCCTGTTGATTTAAACCTTTTTTCGTGTTGTGCTCTCTGACAATAGTTACAGACAGACCATTACTGTTCTCAAAAACATCCATGCTGAAAGAACACGTTCTTTGATTTTGCCTCTAAACATTCCCCCAACTCGAAGCCCCTGGTAAGTAAAGGATGTTCTGTCTTACCTTTCCAAACCGCTGCTGTTGTAGATACAGAATCCCCTTCTTTCTAATGTCTTCATCCATTTCTCTCGGTCTTGTCTCCGACCCCGCTCCTAGAGACTGTCTCATCTATTGTATCATACTTCTTCTGCTGAACTTGCTTGTGACGCAAACAGCATCTCCAAGTTCCGCCATATCTACTTCCTGTATAGCCCAAAAGTTTACACTTCTTTGCAGAGCTGTGCAAGTGCCTCAGTGTGTGACAAAAGCCACAATGATTACTCAAGATCACCAGTTTCCTCATGTTGTACCCAAATGAAAGGAAACAATAACGTATACAATTAGAAAACATTTTAAATCTTTATTGATTTTTAATGTTTATGGCACATTCAATCATTTAAGATGTTTAGGTTGATTACATAAGGCCTGAGGATTCCAATATTATGGTCTCTTTTTTTTAGAGAGAGAGAATTGAATCAATAAATTGTTATGCATTTATAAAGTATTCATCAAGCAGCCATATAAGTATAAATGCTATATTTGTCACATAAGAGCTATTTTAAGATCTGAGGTCTTATTTTTTCAAGGTCTGAGGTCAACTGCAAAACTTCCTGTACTATAATGTGTCAAGTTTCCATCACACACACACATACACACCAACTTACCAGTCAGAGGGGTGATTATACTGACCACTGTGTGCTGCTCTAGCTTTAATCATCATAAATTATTGATTTTATTTAATGAACACAATACCAGCAGGCTTACTGTGTAACTATCATTTTTAGCATGTGAGTATTTATTGTAGTGTGAGTTATGAGTTTCTGTAAAGCTGCTTTAAAAGAAAATAATTAATGAAAAACACTTGTATGCACATTTGTAGGTTAAACAATAAAGGCCTCTGATATACAAAATGCATTTAAAGGTGCATTGCGCAACATTTCTGTCACATGTCTGGCCTGTCTTAGTGATGCATATGGGTGTTTTGTTATGTTCCAGTTTTTTCTCCATTGGTTTGGCTCATTTCTTGAAACAGAAATTACATTCTCAAAACAACATGGCAATTGTTCACAACAGCTTTGAATGTCTAATTCATCAAATTGCAAATGCCTCAGTACGGCTGCATTTACACTGCAGGTCTTGATGCCCAAATCCGATTTTCTGACTATATCCGATTTTTTTGACGACCTGCTTACATCATCTTTTAAAAGTGACCCATATCCGATTTTTGCATTCACACTATACACTGCTGAAACTACCAAATGCACACGTTCTGATGGTTCTGAACCGGGAAATTAAGCAAAACAGCACGAAATTCAATTGATGCTGATCCGAATAAAATTATCCAATGTTTTCTTTCCACAATATTTCAATAAGTCTTCAAAACATTGGTCTCGTACGGCGGAGAAAAAAAGAGGAGAGGCTCTGGCCATGAGCACTTAAAACGATGCCACATATCTCGTGAAATGTCTTCATAAACGGATTTATTTCTGTAACAACCATGCATTTTTGCCTGCACTCTTCACCCCAAACACTCAAAAGACATGAAACCTCCGCATTGCTCCACTGTGTGTATCCTTTCTTCCATCGCGCGGCTCTCGCCTATAATCGTGCAATTTTTAATGACGCATGACTCGCATTTACTGGGGAATATCCGATTTGTCTGCTTACATGGCACACGCAAATGCACTGTATCTGATTCATATCCGATTTATTACCACATATGAATGAGGCCTGAATCCGATCTGAGAAATTCAGAATCCATGCGTTTTTTTCCTGCTTACACGTTCATCGGTCATATCCGATCTGTGCCACATAAGAGGAAAAAAATCGGAATTGGGTCACTTGAACCATGCAGTGTAAACGAGGCCAATGTCTCAGTACCTCTTTTCAAATGATTAAGTAGCCTACATTTAGCACAATTTCCAAGTGAATAGATCTTGTTGATCAAAACTGATTGTACATTCTCTAATGGCTAATGGCGTCTAATGGTTGTTCACTCCAAAACATGTCAGCGTCATTTCATTGTATAGCCTAAGTCATCACATGCACAATAGTCTGTACAATACATTTATTACAGCAATTGACAGAACTTGACTAACGAAGGAGGAGTTTCAGACATTTCAGATGACCAATCAAACCGTATGTTTGGTCAAAGAGCTGCAATTACTGTAGTGCCTCCCATGTAAATCTGTCTACATAATATACTGTTGGTTTACTGTAACATTTCAGTAAGTCTAGTCATTGATGATTTTCCCCTCCCCTTTATGTCAAATACCCCCTGTACCTCTGCATAGGGGTGCATGTACCCCAGGTTTGGAACCACTGGAGTAGTGGCCAGCAGTGTATTGAACTTGTGGAGAACATAGAACATCCCTGTGTAATTGGAGGTGTGTCCATGTTGTTTTGAGAATTTATTTTCTTTTACCTGTGATGTATGGAAGTTACTTTATGTGTGTGAATGATACAGTACAGTAATGTCAATTCCTTGGCAATATGGCAATATTGGCAATATTCCTTGGTTTCATACACAATTGTATTCTGTTAGCTAGACAAAAAACATCCATTGTCAATGAAGGACTGGGCTCAGACTGAAAGGTGGACATGAGGGATATTTCAATGGTCCCCTGCCATAGCGACAAAACATCTAAACATTTTGACTTGCAGTGCTTACACGATGCCAAAGGGACTAAGCATTTGGGGGGCACTGACTGGTTAAATGAGAAGGAAATTTAGTTTTGACACATGAGTGAACTGTTTTGGGAGAGGTATGAGCTTTTGCAGATGAACCATGGTGTTGTGCCGAACCATCCACATTATTTTGGCAAAAGCACCAAGAGTGTTGAGAATGTCCAGTCTGTTTCAAGAAATGAGCCAAAGCAATTGAGAAGGATCTTTGCCATTTTTGTGGCACTGACTCTTTATATGGGAAATGAATTTTGTTTTGAAGCATGAGTAAACTGTTTTGGGCAACCCGGTCTCACCCCAAGACGTCATATAACTGGCGTTTTGGGACGTCTTTTGACCATACGTCAATATTCGCCTTTTTAGGGCCCCCTTAAACGTCGGTAGATGAGGTTATGGGATCCTAACTCTACCCCATACCTAAACCTAACCCTAAACCTAACCCGTCACCTAACTGACGTTAAAGGTAAAGCGTCAGTTGTATGACGGCCCGGGATCGCCATCTACCGACGTTTAAGTGGGCCCTAAAAAGGCTGATATTGACGTATGGTCAAAAGACGTCCCAAAACGTCAGTTATATGACTTTTTGGGATGAGACTGTGTTATTTTGGGAGAGGTATGAGCTTTTGCAAGTGAGCTATAGTGTTGTGCTGAACTGTTAGACTGTTTTGCCATATGATCTTTTGAGAATGTAATTTCTGTTTCAAGAAATGAGCCAAACCAATGGAGAAAAACTGTAAGCCATGTGCTCTTGTTGTTTGATCCCTCCCTCTTGTTATCTGATTATTGGTTTATTTGCTCCACCTGTCTGTCTCATTACCCTCCTTTGTTTGCCTCCCTATTTAGTCTTCCGTGTTTGCTGTCCTGTGCTCATTCATTGTATTTGTTACACGTGTCTGTTGTGTTTAGTTCCATGCCTGTTCCTGCCTTGCCTTGTTTGTTTTAAATTGCAGTACATATAAAACTCCACACAACATGAGCTGTGGAAATTACAGTATAAGAGATCTAGAGGCTTCACACCAGGGAGCTTTTTACCGCAGATGCAATTGAAAACACAGTGGGTCTCATTCATGAAACATTCGTAAATATACGAGTAAATATGAGAGTGATTTGCACGTAAAGAGACCTTCCCGAAAACTCTTCTCCTGATTTACAAATAGGCTACTTCGTAAACGTTAGATGTGATAGTGAAATGTGTGTGTGTTAAAGAATTCCAATCAGTCGTAAATGGAATGTGCATGCATGTTCATTGTCAATTACCATAAATCCCGCCCATTATATCCGAATGACATCTACTGTATATATAGGCATATAATAACATGAATGCGAATGGAAAAAAAATATATTTCTCGGATATATAAGAAGTGAGAAGAAAATGGTTCGACATTGACAGCAAAAAAACGAAGTAGTTCACTTTGGAAAAATCGTATTCAAACTGGAGAAGAACCGCCATCGATCACCAGATCTGCTATTATTGGCTCTCATTCTAAAAGTAAAAAGAAAAACCGTATGTAATTACTATATAAAATATTTTTTTCAAAATACTGTTTAAATATGTACCCATTGGTGAATTAAAATGCAGCCTTATTAATGAGCATAATGCTCGGATGTTTAGCGCACCATTTACGATTGGCTGGGAGCAGGTGTAGATTTCTTGTGTACAAACTAACATTTTGGAAAATACGAATATTTTAATGAATCCGAAAATTTACGCCGGAACCACTTTACACACGATTTACACACAAATTCGTTCTGCTCGTGTTTCATGAATGAGACCCATTAAGTCTATCCCTCACAACCTCGCTTTCATACAGTACCTGTCATGGCACTGATCTGAATAAGGTCTATGATTATTAAAATGTTTTTAAAGCATGTTGCTAGTTACTACCAGGACTCCAAAATTTTGAGTTTAGGTTGGAGTGAGAATTATGTAAAGGAGTGGGGTGGATTGGGGGGATATAAAAAACTTGCATCGCAATAAGTGTATATTGTGATTGTCAAAACATTTGGTGACTAAACAGAACTTTATTAAGTTTAGTAACAACATGTTATAATGTTTACATGGTACAATTTAGACTAATGTTTTTATTATCGCTTGACACAAATTTCACGATTTCAGTTCAATTCAATTCTTGTGATTTAATTGTGATTTATAATGTTTTTTTTAATAATAATAACAACGTTATAATATTTTAATGATATAAGTAAAAATATAATACATATGTAATATAGTGCATATATTTAGCAAAATACTCCTCTCTATAATTCATTCTCCAAGCCAAATAACATGCTATGGTCATATTGATCGATATTATATGAGGTATACATTTTGTAAGTTGTTCTGTATCTTTCAACATCTTTCTCCCGATTGCCATGAGCTTCTCCTCCTGTCTATACGCTAATTTCTCTACTGTGCAACGGAGAGTCGATTCATTATGACGCAATCATTAGCCTATTTTTACAAAAACTGCTTCTGCGAGCCCATAATGTGAGATAC